CATTCAATTTACAAATGCGCAATTTTTTCCTTTCTAACCATGGCTTCTAATGTATATACTCTCGTGAGACATACATAACATATGCGGTGGAGTCTGACTCATCCATGTAGGGTGATTTGTTGTTTTTCTTTCTTTCTTCCTTCTATGTCAATATTCTAAACGAAAAAAAAAATTACACAACGTTGAGTAATTATATATAAAACGCAAACAACACAGCGCATTCATTCTTCAAACTTTCTATGGCTGATACAACAACAACGACAGGAGTAAAACCTTCTGTCGTTCGCTTCAATGTCGATCAACAATGTCCTATTCAGTATGTTACTGTCTATAACGATCGTGCAGAAGTGACACGCTCCTTACAACATCATTTTGACGCTGAAGGCACATATGATCTTGTGTTCAATGGCTTTTCGACATTTGTCGATGAAACATCGTTACATGTCAGTGGTGGGACGGGCAAATCATGCACCATTCTTGAGGTGTCGTATCAAATACGATATGAAGATGTCGCTCCACCATCGGATTTGACACCTCTAGATAATCTCCAAAGTCAACTCGAAAATGTGCAAACTAGTGTAGAGATGCACAAACGCGAATTGACACGACTCGAAAAGCAACGTGTATGGCTTGATGGACGCTCAGTCAAATTAATGAATCAAGATGGACCATGTACGACCAATGATTTGGATAATATGCAGCAATTTCTCGAGTTCTATCGCAAAATGCTGTTAAAACTTGATGATGAAACAGCACGCGAAAAAGACGAAATCAAGAAGTTAAGTGATCGTGAAAATACTTTGAAAGCTCAAATCAATCAACATGGCGCTGAAGCTCAAGTGAATCGACGAAAGACGTGTCGAGAAGTGACTATCACGGTTCATATCGCCCGTGCTAAAATTGACGTGACACTTGAAATTTCCTATTTGATCAGTAATTGTTCTTGGAGTGCCAGTTATGATGTCCGTGTCAGCAGTGCCGACGTGAATCGACAGCGAACACAATTAACATATTATGGAATTATTGTAAGTATTCGAATCGTTAACAGATTCTAGGAATAGTTCCATGTAATTTACTGATCTTTAGGTGAACAAAAGTCAAGAAAACTGGCAAGATGCAAGTTTTTCATTGTCTACCGCAACGCCGTCCTTAGGTGGAGTACCTCCGAAATTGCACACACTCAAAATTGATTATTACAAACCACCTGTCATTTATCATAGGCAACGTTCCCAATCAGAAGCAAATGAGTTGGAGTCTTGTTATGCTTTAGGAAAAGCAGAAATGGCTATAAGACCGCAAATGAAACGTTCAAAGGGTGCATTCAGATCATTTCGTGGTAAATTATCACTGGCTTATGATCCAACCATTGAAGACTACGATGAAGAATCTGCTGAGACAACAGTCAACGTTCTTGCCTCAAAAACCGAAGCCAGTATGTCCAGCACGAGTTTTGTCATTCCACGTCGATCAACTATCGATTCTGATGTCAGTATTCTTTTCAGTGTCGTTGAATGAATATCTATGTACTTTGTCCTTTCTTTTCTAGGGTAAACCACATAAGGTCACGATCGGTGTTTTAGACCTTACTTCAACATTTACATACATGGTTGTGCCAAAAATGTCACTTCATGCATATCTCAAAGCATCGACAGTGAATACATCGGATAAACAACTTCTTACAGGACCAGCATCCATCTTTATGGACAACAATTTTGTCACACATAGCTCGATCGATAATGTTTGTGTTGGTGACACGTTCGACCTTCCACTAGGTACGGATGCTAGTGTCAAAGTTGAATACAAGCCAGTGAAGAAAATGACCGACACACAAGGTCTCATTTCGAAAGTGCATCATGAGACAATACGTCATGAGACACATATTGTAAACACGAAATCAACTGAAATCACAGTATTCGTTTACGAACAAGTGCCTCTGTCTTCGGATGAGAAAATCAAAGTTAAATTACTTTCACCTGAACTACGACAAAAGGATAACGCACGCAACTGCACAGTAACGATGAACGATCGAAACAATTTAGAATGGAAATGTATATTGCCAGCACATGGAGAATATAGATTTCCGTTAGAATATACACTTGAATGGCCAAAAGAGAAGCGTGTTGAATTCAAGGAAGAGTAGTAGCAGCGAACTTCTTAGTGCATTCACTTTCGTGGAACAGCGTGCAGTTCTCACAAGATTCACACCCACACCCGCTTCACAAAATATATACATGAGTCCATCATTTATAATAGTTTTTTTTAACAAGTTCTATGTTGTTGCGTGCAGTTTGAATATAAGGATGTTCAGCAGGTAATGAACGTTGCCATATGCCTAGAGCACATTCAAACGACGCAAGTGCATCTGAATATTTTCCAATATTATAATAAACTGAAGCAATATTGTTCCAAGATATAGCGAAAGAAGAATGATTTGGCGGAAGGGTTTTTTTGTAGATTTCGAGTGCCTTATTATAAAGCGAAAGTGCTTTTGAGTACTCTCGCTGATCATCAAACACTGAAGCAATGTTATTATACGAATTAGCCAAGTCAGAATGATTTGGAGTAAGAGTCTTTTCTCGAATTTCGAGTGCTCTTTGATGAAAAATAAGTGCTTCAGAGTTTTGTCCCATCTTGTGATACACTAAACCAATGTTATTATATGACTGAGCCAATTCGGAATGATTTTCTCGAAGATTTTTTTTCTCGGATTTCGAGTGCTTTCTGATGAAACTCAAGCGTTTCAGAGTACTTCTCCAGACCTCGATAGGCTTCACCGATGTTGTTGTAGGAAATAGCGATAGAACAAGGATTTGATGGAAGAGTTTTTCTGTGGATTTCGAGCGCCTTGTTGTAAAACAGAAGTGCATTTGAATACTCTCCTTGATCGTCCAGTACTCCGCCGATATTGGTATAAGAATTAGCCAAATCAAGATGATTTGGAGCAAGAATTTCTTCTCGAATTTCAAGTGCTTTTCGATAACACAAAAGTGCTTCAGAGTATTGTCCCCTGCTGTGATATACCGAACCGATGTTGTTGTAGGACTGAGCCACATCAGAATGATTAGATGGAAGAGCCTTTTCTCGAATTTCGAGTGCTTTCTGATGAAAAGATAGTGCGTCAGAGTATTGCCCCATGTTATGATACACTAAACCAATGTTATTATATGACTGAGCCAAATCAAGATGATTGGGCGGAAGAAATTTTTCTCGATTTTCAAGTGTTTTTTTATGAAATGAAAGTGCTTGTGAGTACTCTCCCATACTTCGATGCATTTCACCGATATTATTGTAGCAGTTTATCAAAGAAGGATGGTTCTCAGTAGGAATCTTTTTATAGATTTCAAATGCTATTTGAAAAAATGAAAGTGCTTCAGTGTATTGTCCTATATTGTAATACATTTTAGCGATGTTGTTGTAGGAAGTTGCTAATGAAGGATGATTTTCAGGAAGAGATTTTTGTTTGATTTCAAGTGCTTTTTGATAAGACAAAAGTGCTTTTGAGTGCTCACATAACTTGTCGTATACTGAAGCCATGTTATTGTAAAAATTAGCCAAAGAAGGATGATACTCAGGAAGAAATGTTTTATATATATCATATGCTTGTTCATAAATCTCAATTGCTTTTGTGCACTCTCCCATGTGTTCATGCAACGTTCCGATGTTGTTATAGGTAGTGGCCAATAAAGGGTCACTTGAAGAACGAATGTCATGAAGGATTTGACATGTTTTTTCGTAAAATGAAATGGATTTTGAGTAATTCCCTTGGTGTTGATACATTACACCGATGTTATTAGAGACGATAGCCAACAATGAATAATTAATAGGAATTTGCTTTAGGAGAATATCAAGTGCTCTATCGTAGAAATCTGATGCCTCTTTATATTTACCTTGATCACTCTTGATATGTCCAAGACTATTATAAATTACTGCCTGGTCGTTCTCCTGGTTTGTTTGCTCGAGTAAAAATTTAAAAAGTTCCTCAGCTTTGTCGGGTTGACCAATTTTAATTAATAATTGTCCCAATCGTCTCCATCCTATTTCTTCCTTTGTCTCCTCTCGTATACGTTCGGTAACTTTCCGTAATTGGTTATCATCATCAGAAGTCAGTTCCAAATCTACTTGATAAAGCCGATCTGTGTTATTAATTTGTTTGATATCATGAATACGAAATACGCTGTGCATAGAAAAAATCACTTCTTCTTCCTGATAGAAGTGACTCCTCTGGTCGACGGGAGCGAACGGTACTGATGATATAGACGGGTCAACGATGATTTTAAACAAGATGCCGACTGAATTCATACTAAGCGTTCCAATCTCTGCATACTGACGACCTATTTCTTCGTTTTTACTGGTTGACAAGAAATTGTTAAAAGATAGAAGTCCGCCCTTCGTATTCCTAAGTTTTTCAAAGTTTTGTGTCGATAAACTCTGTCCACGATAGATTGTGAATGGTTCTCCACGATACTCATTCGATCTTTGTTCATAATGTCGCTTGATTTCACAGTGAAGATCCTTAATGAAGAAACCCATTAGAATGATAGTACCACCTTCAAGAGTACGAAGCGCATCGTTAAGCATAGAAAAAACAAATGACGGAAAAGTATACCACCATATGGCGCTATGAGAATAATATTCATCCTCAATAAGCTTGATGTTCTTTGATGAGCCACAGTTTTCTTTGCGACAGAAGTCGACGAATTTGTTGAGAGCGTCTTGAGAAAAAGTCATTTCTAGTATAATCTCTTGAAAAATTTGTGTGTACATGAACGAAGGTTCTAATTGATTTAAATTTTGAATATGTGAATCATCACTAGCTGTAAGCAAACTAATTGGATTAACGTTTTCATTATATTTTTCCACAGTTTCCTGAAGGACATTTTGAAGAGACTTTGTTTCATTGTAGACACCTTTAATTTTGGGCCATTCTTTGATCCATGAATCCTGTGTAAAATTCTCATTGCATAATATGTGAATAGAGTTCACTTGAGACCATGAGTGGGTAAGAGTTGCTATCTGTTGGCCAAAAGCATGCGAAACAATCACAAATACCTTTTCATTGTCAATGTCTCTAAGAAAACTAATACATTTGTCAGCATCAGTGAAAATGTCGACATCATGAATAACACATCGTAGTTGTCCTATTGTATTTTGAGATTCTTTTTTTGATAGATCAATACTTGCATCCAACCAAACAAGAAGCAAGTTCTGAAACTTTCGCCGTCGAGAACGGCTACTTTGCAGTTTTACTGCTGTTGTAGATGATGATTCGGTTGCAGCTGAATTTTTGGAACTTTGTTCACTCATACTACTGAACATTAATAACTAATTATGTTTGTTTGTATGTAATAGTACACTAGAAGAAAGACAGAATAATTAAATCTTTATGGTTTACGAAAGTTTAACACATAAGAAACACTTTTTAGCTTATGTAAAAAGAATTGTCAACGTTTTATGAGATTTTTACATACGCTAAAAGATCTTCTGATACATTAAACATTTATAAACTCTGAAACATCGACTATTTTACCTTTTGAATGCATAGGTAAGATTATTATTTGTGATGAATAAGCCAATTCTCCTCTTTTGCAATAATGACTTCCTTTTTTTGCGTTCTGCTATTACCAGCAATACTTGCATATCTGAGTAAAACTTCTGTTAATGTATACATAGGAAGGCAAACATTAATTTCCAAGTAGAACGATAAAATTTATTGAATTTCTTGCCATCGAACATTTGACGAGTTTTTTCTCTCTCTTGTTGAAATATATGTATGACAAAGAACTGAAAGAAAGAGGAACACTTCAATTTTTTCTATTTATGCATGTCATCGAAATCAAAATGTAAGAAGATGTGTGTATGCATGTGCAAGTAAAAAATCAATGTCAGCGAATAAATAAAGCATTAGTGCATCATTACTCAATGCACCTTGATTTTGTCCTAATTGTTATTCAAATTCATTGAGTTAGTTTTTCCAATACCATTTTCGTTGCTTCAACTCCTTCTCTTTCAAATAGAGACATGTGGGGTGCGGATGTGGATGGTCGCACTCGCGCTCACATCACACTGACTCCACACGTACACCCGTGTACGGAATAAGATTCTTCGGTTTACTTATTTGCTTGCTCCGCTCTTTGCCAGTGAGAATGTGAATAGAATTATGCATGCAAACAATAATGATAATGAAATGATCAATCTTTTCGTAGGCACTTTTCAGCTCAAGTTCAAATTAAAATTAAGGAGCAGTCGTAGGCGAGTGGTTAAGGCGTTTGAGTTGAAATCATATTCCTTCTGGGAGCGTAGGTTCGAATCCTACCGACTGCGTTAATTACTTGCGGGTATGGGTGTGGATGTGAGTGAATCAAGAAGATAAAGATACGCCCAAATCCAACAGCCACCCACACCCCACCCTTTGTCCATTCTCAGTTATAATATAGCTCAAAGTGTCCTTTACCTAATGAAAATAGTTTATTTCAATAATTAGTCAGTTTTATTAAAATAATAATGAATAAAATTTATGAAATATAGCTGCGAACAATCATATGATAGTAGGCTCCACGTCGTTCCATTAACTCTGCGTGAGTACCACTTTCTACGAGATATCCTTTGTCAAGAATGCAGATCGAATCACACGAACGAATAGTTGGCAAATGATGAGTAATGATAAATGAAGTTCGAGTTGGATTGTCTGTTTGAGCTTTTTCAAGAGCTTTTTGCACGACCTAAACGTACCAGAAATGGCTATTTGATTAACAAGTATCATAGGAAAACGAACCTGTTCATTGTATGAGTCTACAGCACTTGTTGCCTCATCTAATAGCAAAATTTTTGGTTGGCGAAGGAGAACTCGAGCAAGAGCAATAAGTTGTTTCTCACCACCTGACAAGTGACTACCTTTCATACCTACTTTGGTCTCATAGCCCTGTTGTCATAATACAAAGACCCAATCAAATATCATGTGTTATTCTTTACTCACTTGAGGTAACCGTTGAATGAAGTCATGAATGTTAGCTTTAGTGGCCGCATCGATAATATCTTCAATCGAAGTCTTCTCTCTACCATATGCTATGTTCTGAGCAATAGTCAAATCAAATAAGATAGGCTCTTGACTCACAAGACCAAGACATGAGCGAAGCCATTGGATATTCAGTTGTCGAATGTCAACACCATCGAGACACTAAATTTCATTAGTTGAGTGTTGATACGAATATTTTGCCAGCACAAAAGAAAGATACTTACGATTCGACCTTGTACGGGATCGTAGAATCGTTCTAAGAGTTGAATGACTGTCGATTTGCCACAACCAGATGCACCTTTGTAAATAGATTTTATAACTGTTTTCAATAAACAAAAAATGACTTCGACATACCTATTAGAGCTATACGTTGACCTGATTGACAAATAGAGATATTTAATCACAAACTAAACTGAAAATATACAGAATAAACTCACCAGGTTTGATAATCAATTGAAATCTATTCAGAATATAGGATGTCGGTCGAGATGCATATGCAAATTTGATTTGATCAAATTGAATCTCACCTTTGAAATCATTCTATCAACAACATATTTTAACAATGACATAAGAGTAATCTGTTCAAAATTCAGATTTTTACTAAATGAATTACTCACCAATTGTTGACCAGCCGTAGAATTATTGTCGATGGCTGATATTCGATCGAACAAATCGAAGAAACTTCGAGCTGCTGACAATGAATCACTCATCTGTCGCTTCCTCAATTAGAATATTTGATGAAAAGAAATCGATCAACACAATTACTTACAAGGTCATGACGCATCGCAGAGATTCTAAAGCGAATATATAATAGGCAAACACTCTAGAAGAACTTGTAGATGAAATAGATCTGAAAGGTTTCTATTTTTATACATAGAGATATTGTTCATCTCGAGTTCTTTGTGTTCAACAAGAATGACAGCCTGCCAATAGAGAATCAACAAGATGAATGGACTCGTTCCCCAATAAATACTCTCTAATAAGGAGGATATTATTATATCATTTCGACGAAATCTATGTGAAAATAATGTATGGAGATCAAGGAAAAAAGTGATTGAAAGACCGACTTGAATTCTTTAAGAATTAAATTTGTGAACTGACGTAAGAATTCTGCTTCGCTTGCCAATTGTTTCACCGTACGCATATTATGGATGATCTCGACAGCGAGCTATTAAGAAAAGAAGATTCAGTACCAATATTTCAGTGTACATGACATTGTAATCAAAATGTTAATCTTACCGAACTTGCTAATCCAAGAAAATAATCAGAACGTTTATTCAATCTAGCTTGCCACCATATTTGTATGAAAGAAAGAACATACAAAGAGATAATAAAGAAGAACATGGTTAATGTCAACTGCCAACTGAACAAAAATCCGAGAACAATACCAATTCCAAACATTGCGACTGATTCAAAAACGATGCCTAGACGAGAGCCAACCATCTGCTGAATAGCCAATGTATCGGATGAGAGACGATTACAAATAGCTCCAGAACTATTTTCAAGACAATCAAAGAAGGCCATTTCTTGACGTAGATAATGTGCAAAAGCTTTAGTACAAATACGCTCGGTCAATTTTGAGCCAGACACAGCAAAAGCAGTGTACTACTGATGCAAAAAAAAATGAAACGTTTTATGAGGTACAGTCCTACTTGAATAAAACGAATGGCTAAAAAGACCACACCCATCAACAAGAAGAGAAGTGAATATTTCAAAATTTGATGATGTTGTTCTTCGTAGGTACAGGCTCCGAATATCTG